TCCTCACATGCAAGTTCAAAGCTTGCTTATACTACCTCTGGTTAACCATTTTACAGTCCAGAAATTTACCTCTCAAGATGCTCACTCACTCGACAGGATGCTGAAGTCTATCCCTCCCTCTCTCGGCTCTTCTCCTCACGCACAGGTAAGTTGGTTCTGGTTGGATTGTAGTGGGTGCAGCTGGTGATGGTGGAAGCTGGATAGCAACCGGCTGAGCTTGGAGAATGCAGAGGAAAGTTTGCTCACAGTTTCTCCTTCTCTCCTCCCTCTTCGATACTTGCGGACAGAACCAGAAATGTAATTCGCAGCTCACAGCTTCCTCCCTCACTCTCGGCTATATGGTGCAGCTCACCTTCCTTCACTCTCGGTCGATGATAACAATGTGGAGGTGGAGTGTTGGTGAGGATCAAGTGTGCAGATGGTGAAGAAGAGCATTGGCCGGATGGAGAGGTGCAATATTATTATGTCCGAGGGAGTGTTTGGCGGTGCGTGGAATGGTTATGGTCATGGGTAATTTTGTGACATTGTGAGGGGTAGTTTAGTCTTTTCACTTCTCCTCCTATTACCCACTTAAGTCCTTGGTTCTAACTTAGCTCCACAAATTGTCCCCAAATGTGATTTGACCGCCTAATTCTTCGCTAATCTTGCAAGGCTTTGATTATCGAAATTTTTTTTTTTACATCTTAAGTATGTTTAGAGTACTTGTATTGTTTTTATCTAGAATTTATCGGTTGCATAAAAAAATATTAAGATTTCTAACTACGATTATCCTTATTCGAAATTAGAATTAGCTATGTAACAAAAATTAAGGCATTATTTTCAAGGAGTAAACTTAATATAACTCAAGAATTATTAACTTAGTGTAGCAAAGCTAAGTGCTTTAATAGTTAGCACCGTTGTATTATTTTGCGCACGAAAATTATTTTTATTTACTTATTTAAAACAAATGAAATAATGTTGTAGATTAGAGTAAGAACTACGAATGAAATATGCACTAGTATATAAAAGCGAGTGAAAGTAATACTAGAAAAAAAATTAAGGAATACGAATGCTATATAAAAGTGAAATTGAAGTATGCGTTGGTATTTAACTGCAAAATTCAAGGTTCTCACAAACAATGTCAGCCTCATATGTGTGAGGAAAAGTTTTGCAGGGAATATTTGGAATAAGGTAACCAAAATTTTATCCTTTCTGCTGAATCTTTTAAATTCTTTTGATATACATGTCGTTAGTTCTAGAATTGATTTTGGTGTTAGTGTGTATTTAGTGATACTAATTTGGTTTGGTGATAAATTTCATTCATTTATGTATTTGGTTATATATATGATTGTCCGATTTCTAGGAATATTTGATTCATTTGGTAGTAGTTTGACCTTTGTACTGCTGATTTATTATGGTGATAAAGTTGATTCATTTATGCGATCATGTGATAATTGATTTTGGTAGTTTGATCTTCTGCTATGAAACTTATAGTTTGTCTTAAACTTATGTTTGATAATATGTTTATTTTCTCTTACATTCTGCTAAACTTATAGTAATTGAGTAGTCTATAGTGTTTCAATAGAATTCGTTAAAGCTTTCATTCCTAACTTCCTTAACAAAGCATTAGAATTCAACCAAAATTTAGATACATACTTTATCAGTATTGCACTACAAATTATGCCACATAAATAGTTCCAAAATTCGATTGAAGTTGGAGTTGTTTTATCACCAATTGACTAAAACTATAGCAAATTTAGTACTGCAAAAAAATTATACGGACAAACATATTCTTATCATTTGAAAATCCTTGTAAATACTTTATTACAATTTTAACAAAAACAAAGCTCCCAAAGTAGTTTAAAAAGGATCTTAATTTATACAAGTTAATAACTTCAATTTCTAATAATTTGTAAAATCTTTGCCTACTTAATTTATTAGCTATTGCAACAAATGAAATGATTGTTAGACGTTATCATATAGTAGCATTGACAAAATTGACCAAAACTCATTCTTATATAATATAAGGACATCTAGGTATTTTTGGAATGAGGGATTATTTTGCAATCGTTAGTGCATTAGGTACAACTTATATGAGCATATGTGTTGGTGTAATTATTGAAATGGTGTCATAGTGCAATAAAAATAAAGAGATGTTGCAGCTATTCATTCAATTGTCTGAAACAACTCATAATAATACCAATGTATGAGTTCTCATGTCTGAATCCCTTATCTTTGAAATAGCTTCCACACCAGCAATATATTATCACTATTTACATCTCAATTAAACAGCCAAAAACATAGGTATTATCCATGCATTTCCTTCTACTTATATTAAGTAGGATTCGGCTAATATGCATTATTATCTACAACAGTTTTGTTACTATTACTTAATATGCGTTGTTATTATACTCTTATCTTCAATCACTTGCTCACCTTGCAAAAATATTGATGATATGTACCGATAGGTTCTTGATAAAAAATAACTTGGTCAATATGGAAATAATTTCACTTCAACCACTAAAAAATTCTCTTTAGTCACAGGCATCAAATACCCGCGCATAGTCTTTGTTATACGACAAAGAAAACCGCAAGAAAAGTACGAGCAACAAATGGCATGAAATCAAGGATCAATAATGCAGAACGAGGACGTGGAAGTCGATAATTTCATTCTGGGTGGTATCATTGTAAGTATAGATTATTGCTGTAACTATTCCACGGGCCAATCGAAAAGCCCCAGAACCACCTACTATTGCCATCTCCTTGTACTTCTGGAAGAAGGGATAATCACCTAGAACGCTAAGGGCGCTACCATTGAACTTGCCATCGTTGAATGCCAAGTTCATGATGACAATTTGGGAAGCATCTTCCTCTTTCGAAGCCGAACTGGTTATGCCATGGGCGTGACTGATGATCTTGGAACTGGGCTCAGGTCCCAGTGTCATCGGGTCATCGAAGACATAGGTTGGCCCGAACATCGTGGGTGATTTGCTTTTTTATTACCAAAGCCTAAAGACTTTTAGGATAGTTTACTAACCTTCATCCACAGGAAATCACAAAAGTTGGTAACTTATGTGGTTCCTGAGGAGACTAATATCCTAACTCCAAACCTCCCAGACACCGATATGGGACTTGACTAGCCTATGCAGCTTAGCTGCTACAAAGGAATAAAGACCCCCCACTAAAGCCAGCATGACCACTTGAGCAATTAGTACAGATGTGGGGCTCTCTGCAGTTACCCTGTCATGAACATAAAAGTGAAGCTCTGCCAACTTCTCTTTTGCATGTTGAAGCTCTTTGAACCATTTTTAACTGCTTCAGGACTTTGATCAATGCTGCCATGATCTCTGCAGTTATCACATATAACAATAGTATGACTTGTTTGTTACACGGTCAACGTTTGTATTATTTTTGCAGGGACTTATTTTATAAGACGATGAAGACTTTATTAGAGAACAAAGGTTGATATGATTCATGACTAATGTGATTAACATAACTTTTTTCATGCGGTAAACTATTTTAGTTTAATATTTTATAAACTAATAATAGGTTTGAATGCATGTCACTTGTATAAAAATTAAAATGAAATTAATGAAATTTAAAAAAATTATACATAGTGCAATTTCTTTTAGTTTAGGACAAAATAAAATAAAAAAAAGACCTTGTGCTAGTTGAGTAAAAAAGGGCATCAATGTATAGGAAATTTATTAAACCAGCCCTCACTATTATCCACCAAGTGACAAATGTATACGGTAAACTATTTTAGTTTAATATTTTATAAACTAATAATAGGTTTGAATGCATGTCACGTATATAAAATTTAAAATGAAATTAATTTTCATGCATCCGGACCCGTTAATGTATAGTTAGTGCTAAGAAATATAAATTCAATTCTTTTTCGCTTAATTATCTGCTAATTATGCTTCTTAAGATGCCATCAAATTGGAAAATAAAAAAAATTATACATGGTGCAATTTCTTTTAGTTTAGGACAAAATAAAGTAAAAAAAAAAAAAAGGCCCTGTGCTAGTTAAGTCCTTGTTCCCTGCAGTGGTAAAAAAAAAAGAACTGAACTGGGCCCGCCCAATACTGTATCGAAAAACTGAACTGGATCAAAGCATCTCCCCTGCCTTTTCTCCAACCCTTTCCTCTTGCAGCCAACTTTCTTCCTCCAACAGGGGAGGAGGGCCATCCCTCTAATTTCTTTCTTCTTTTCTTAAGTTTTGTTTAATAGAAGTGTTCTCTCTCTCTCTCCTAAATTTCTTAGTGACAGGAGTTTTGTTCTCTCCTTAGATTTCTTTTTTGAAAGTTTTGAATTTTTTTTTGATACGTTTCTTATTAGATCTGAAATTTCTAAAATTTATTTTGTCAGATCTAAAATTCTCAAATCTAACTTTCTCTATGGGCCAAGTTTGTTTAACATCAAATCTGACAGTTCAAGACGTAGGCAGAATAGTGCCATGCATAGAATGGACCTGCAGTAGTGATTCATCTGATATAAAAACATTTTGGGTTATTTCATGGTGGTATCTTTTAATTTTCAGATCTATTCCTAATTTTTTATATCTATTATATCAGATCTATTATTCTTAATGCAGATTATGACAATGGATTGTGAAATTTTTTTTAAAAAAATGATAAAATGGGCACTTTAAAAAAATTTAATTGTTTTTAAGAAATTGGTAAACAAGAACTTTTAAAGCTGTTTTCCATAAAAGTTAGAATAATTTGTTACCAAATCAACGCCAAATATCTTTCTTGTTATCTTTCTTTCTTTTTTTTTTTTTTTTTTCGTTTCAAACTAAAAAAAAAAACTGAAAGTGGTAAACTTTTCAAAACTTAATTAAATTAAGAAAAAACTATACAAATAGCCCTTTACGGATTGAATTTATAGTTATTTACTCACTCACTTATAAAATGATACAAATTTGTCCCTCACATATACAAATTACACCATTTTAGTCTCAAAACCCATTTTATATTTGAGGTTCATTTCAAGTTGACAGTTTGATATGCATTTGAGGTAATATTTGACTTTTTCTTTCATTTATATCAAGAGGAGGGGGTGCAAACGTCATTTCCTATTGTCATCAAATAGATAATAATAACCATTAGGTGGAATCTAAAACACTGGAGAATCCATTAACGATTGTTGAAAATTACAACATTTTCTATATGGCCTGGAAAGATTTGGGATTGCAGCATGACCTGCAATTACATCACCACAACTCTGCTGGAGGGTTCCGAATTCCAAACTTATTTATTCAAAGTCAAACGATCTTTTTGGTCACGAGATCACCAATACAAATAACCAATGAATTAAACAAGCAGCATACAAAGCCCTAGGACAGCAAAATTTGATTATGGAATCGCCACTCATCTGTACATTCATCAACAGAGTCAAGGAAAGGGATTCAACCAAATAAGGAGCCAACAACAGAGAACAAAAACATTGCTAAATGGAAGCATGAATGGAAGATTAAAAGAGATCAGAGATCCTACCATCAAGGCCATCAGCTCAGATTGCAACCTGTATTAACGAGGAAAAAAAGTTCAAACATCAGTTACATAAACAACTCCTTTATACATAAAAACCCTTTCTTGGACGTATTCTGCCCATTTTAAGACATCAAATTGACAATTTTTCATAACCAACTAGACTAATTAGGCTTTAGATTTCAGAATTGAAAAGGTTTGATATCAAAAAATTGAGGATCTTAGCTAAATCAAAGAAAACACATTTAGAAATATGTCAACCGTTTTATTTCTTTCACCTAATACCCGTGTCCAGAAATCAATTCGAAACAAAAACCACAAATTCAGACACCAAGTCCCCTAAATTAACTCTAAGAGAAACAAAGGGGATCAAAACCCTAATATCCCAAATCAAGAAATTCAAAATTTCTTTACACACGTATTCAAAAAATAAAAACCCTAAAATTTATTTTTAAAAAATGTACCTCTTGAGAACAGATTGAGTATCAACGTTCTTTGCAGATTGCACTGGCTGCTTGGATGACGTCATCACCGTACCAGCGGCCGGGGTGCTGCTGTTATTGCTGCTTTCGCTGTTCATGGTGGTAGTCATCCCTTCTTCCTTGATTCCTTACTTTTCACCCCTCAAAAAATTCAACCTCTCAACGTTTAAACAAGAATCAAAATAAAGGGTTCCAAAAATTCTGAACAAATCAAACCGGAATTTCGAGAAATCTCGTCAAAGAATAAGAAGAGGCTAGTGAGGATTAAAGGGCTGCCTGCTTCTTCTGATGATGATGAATTATTGTATTGATTCTTGTTTAGAGAGAGAAAGTGACAGAGAGATTGGATTGATGCAGAAAAAAATTGTGTGAAGAGATGTTTATAAATGTGAGAGTTTGTCTGAGTTTTCATAAGAATCCAAAAAACATTTTGAACGTTAAAAGAGCTGCAATCTGCCGTAGAATCCAAAATATTTTTTTTTATCATTTTTTGGAATCTAATTCTTGGATTGGTTGTGTAAGTAAAACTTGTAGAAATGGGACCCATATATTGCAAATTAGGAGTCTGGTAGATAATCATAACGCAAATGACACAAATGTGAGTAAATTGTGTGAGTTTTCTGTTCATATAATAATATCTCCATAAAATGGAAAAATTGAGCACATCCTCTGCCTTCTCAGTCTAAATATATAATGGGGACAAAAATGCAACGTCAAACTGTTGTCCTAAATTTGAAGAAAAAGGAGAAATTTTGGTGACCAAATTTATTTTGATCAAAACATTTATGACCGCTTTAGTGCACAAAGTGACTTTTGAGGTCTATCTTATTCTTACCCATTGGATCAAACATCAAATGCCTCCACAAGTCTCCTGAACTGGGTTCCGAATTTCAAACTTATTTATTCATGATTTACAAAGTCAAAGGTTATCCGACCAGTGAGACCAGTGAGACTGTTGTTACCCAAGCCTAAATAATAGAGATCTTCCAAATGAAACAATGACCTTGGAATGCTTCCGGTGAAGTTATTGCTGTTGAGGTTGATGCGTTCCAAGCTTGGGTAATTCATCCAACAGTCTGGAATTTCTCCTGATAGAGAATTCTCCCGAAGATCCAGATACCAAAGAAATTGATTTTCATTCTTGACTTCACACAAAACGTGAGAGATGCCTCCTGAAAATAAATAGTTGGAAATTAAGTTCTAAATATGTCAATCAATGATAAATTACTTGGGTGTGTAGGCAATTGAATGTGTTTGATTGTTGTGTGCATATAAACCTTTTGACAGTTTTAGAGATATTTGAACTTTTACCATAAAATTAATTGTGAGAAAGTTTCATGTGGATCAATGATGGGTTGAATAACCAAGAGGGAATAACCATTGAATGTGTTTGACTATAATGCACATATAAACCTTTAACAATTTCAGAGATATTTGAACTCTTACCATGGAATTGATTGCGAGAAAGGTCTACGGTATCCAATGATGGGTTGAATAACTAAGGTGGAATGGTATCTGAAATTTCTGTGAAGGACAAGTTCAAATTCAAAAGGAATTTTTGTGACCGGATCCATGTAGGAAATTGGGGACCCAGCTTCCATGAGCCCAATCCAAGTACATGAAATTGGGCAGAGGAGTCCAACTTGCACTTACTTTTAAGGTCAAGGAGTTTCCAGATGCATCAAAATACGTTAAAGCTGTCAGATTATCTAGGTGGCTCTCACTCACAACGCCTTCTATTAAATTATCAGCAATTTAAAGCTCTTCAAGTTTGGAAAGCTGCCAAAGACTTTCAGGAAGAGTTCCAGTGAGTTTGTTCTAAGATACATCCAAGTGCTCCAAGGATGACAGTTTTCCTAAATTTGATGGAATTGAACCAGACAGAGCATTATTATGTAGCCAAAGTTCTTTGAGCTGGGTACAGTTGCCAACTGTGCTTGGAATTGGACCATTCAAGTGATTCCATTCAAGCTTGAGAGAAATGAGTTTGTTAAGATAAATAAGCTCGTTTGGTAGGGAACCATTCAGATGGTTGAAAGAAAGATCCAAATATTTGAGAGAAGTCAAGTTCCAAAGACCTCTGAGCAATGGGCCTTCAAACAAGTTATCACTTAAATCAAGGGAAGCAAGGGCAGTAAGACCGAAAATATATCTAGGGATGAGGCGTCCAAAATAATTTCTAGAAAGATCTAGGACAGTAAGAGAAGAAAAGTTGGCATGGAAGACAAATGTATCTCTGCCTAGTTGACAAGAGGACAGATATATCTCTACTAAAGAAGGGATCGTGTTAATCACCTCTAGCCAATTAGACGCTGTATTAAGGTTCACGCCACTCATGTCTAGGTGCTCCGGATTCGAGAGACCAACCAACCATTGCAGGTTATCAACTTGAAGATCGGACCCATCGCGTAAACTTGAAGATTGGCCTCCTAGCGAAACGTATTTTAGCGCAAGGTACATCTTCCTAAATTTGATGGAATTGAAGATAGAGCATTATCACTTAGCGCAAGGTGTTCTAGCTTGGTACAGTTGCCAACTGTGCTTGGAATTGGACCATTCAAGTGATTACCGCTTGCACCAAGTGTAATCAAGTCCTTCAATGTGAATACTTCACTTGGTAAAGAGGAGTTAAGGTTGTTATAAGACAGATCAAGATGTTGAAGGTTGGAAATGTTGGCAATAGAGCTTGGGATTGAACCTCGAAACTGATTCCACCCAAGGTTGAGAGAAATGAGATTGTTAAGATGAATAAGCTCGTTTGGTAGCGAACCATTCAGATGGTTGAAAAAAAGATCCAAGTGTTGGAGGGAAGTCAAGTTCCAAGGACCTCTGGGCAATGGGCCTTCAATCGAGTTATCACTTAAATCAAGAGACGCAAGGGCAGTAAGACCGAAAATCCATCTAGGGATGAGGTGTCCAAGAAAATTTCTATTTCTAGAAAGATCTAGGACAGTAAGAGAAGAAAAGTTGGCATGGAAGACAAATGTATCTCTGTCAAGATGATGAGAAATTAAATCAAGCTGACAATGGGACAAATGTATCTCTACCAAAGAAGGGACCGTGTTAATCACCTCTAGCCAATTAGACGCAAGACTAAGGTTCACGCGAGTCATGTCTAGGTGCTCCAGATTAGAGAGACCAACCAACCATTGCAGGTTGTCAGCTCGGAGAGTAGGAGGCTGCCAGACTTCTCCGCCAACACTTAAAGTGCGTAAACTTGAAAGGTTTCCAAGCTGATAGGGAACCATTCCTTGAAATCCAGCTCTGGATAAATTCAGGTACCTCAGACTTCTGAGAGACCCAACAAAACTGGGAATTGGAATTCCACTGAAATTATTTAGACTTAGATCAAGGTAACGCAAATGAGTCAAATTTTGTAACGAATGACTGATTTTACCGCTTAATGGTGATTCAAGAACCACAATCTCATAACCAATATCATCAATTACACGAACAGGACTCTGAAGGAGAAGTTGAATCACGCGGCCACTTCGGTCGCTACAAACAACTCCTTCCCATTTGCAGCAATCAACGTCGTGAATCCAAGACGAGAGTCTACCAGAGGGATCTTTCAAGTCTTTCTTGAAGTCCATAAGAGCTTGTTTCTCACTTGCATGGCAAATTGCATTTACAGTTTTGCTGGAAGAACAGAGTAAAATTATTGCGACGAGTAAGAAAACAGAGAAATGGGTTGATCCACCCATGGTCATGTGAAATGTCGGAAGAAATACACTGCAGTACTTCGGCTATGTTGCAGGTACATATATAGAGCTGGCAGGCAGTGGTCGTCAAATTATGATGGAAGAAATGCACAGTTGATATAAAGCTTCACTGTTGGTGTGGCTATCAATATCAGGCTTCGAAAGCATATTTCACTTTTGCTGCGTTTACATTGACATGTCAACAATGGAAGACTCAGGAATCTGATTTGGAAAAGAATTTATTATCTGTTTTTGGCTTCATTATTGAGAAATTTTAACCTCAGAAATGATTTGAAACAATTTACGAAGAAAATTACATAAACATAAAATTAACTGGGGGGGAGGAAAGTTCTTCTTTTGTCCTTTTTTTTTATACTTTTGGTGTAAATTACGTTGTTCAAAAGCCAGCTATTGCTACGAGCGATAAATTCACTCGTTCTAAGCACATATATTAGGATTAATATTTTTGTGGTAACAATGCACTAAAATTAGTAAAGCCATGTTCTGTGGAATCAACAATGTAAAGAAATGAACTCCGAGGACCCAAACAAAATGTAAACGATTGGTACAAAACGTAACATAACAACATCATGTTCAATACTAATAATTAGGCACTAGAAATTAATCAGTTAACGACTAGGCCCAATGTTCAATATGTACCTTAGGCATATCAGCATACTTCTGCAATTCGAAGAATCCTTCATATACTAATAAAAAGTAATTTGACCTTATTTTTTGACTGACTTTTCCTCATTTCTTCATATTTTATAAATGTTCGTCCAATGAAAAGTTTGAAGATAATTACGTTTATTATGAAAGTCTTTGAATGAGGGGCCGGCAGACACAAAAGGACCAAGACCTCAAGATCTCAAATTTTCTAGCAAATAAAGAGACTCCACTAAACTGGAGAACTATTTGATTTAAACTCTTTACGTGTAGAATGTACAAATTTTATTAGTAGTCACAATCAGAACTATGCCAAATATGTCAAATTAACAAAGTTGATGGGAATGCTTTGACTTTGTCATACATATATATGGTAAGGGAAGGACGAGATTTAAGAAGTGGAAAAGGAAAATTTGAGCACAAAAATTCTAAATCCTGAGATCTTATAATTATATCTTATGACTTCTTCAAATTCAAATCGATTCATCTCTTTCTGAGCTTCCTTCTCCTCACTTGTTTCCTCAATGCGATTCATCATGTGGTTGGTTTATGGGAATAAAAATTAATGAACTACTATAATTTGGAGAGCTATTTTTGAATCAATTTTTACTATAATTTGACTTAAGAAGGGTAATTTTAGTATTTTTACGAAAGAATACTGTGCTATTAAAATTTGTCCTATGGAATAAGTCCACCAGGTACTTAAACTTATTACCATTTTCCTACAGCTAAATGTTTTGTGCACTGAAAAAATGTTATACTAGTAAGTTGCCAGCATTGTATTGTTGTTTCCAAGGTTCGGGTTGTTGTCGTGCAATATACTAGCTAGGTATTTAAGTAGGATTATGACTGTTGACCTTGAGTTCATTTCTGTCATGAGTAGGTTTTTCCAGTGTAATCCTGAGTTTTATGGTTCTCTACCGATTAAAACTGAAGTAAAATGTTCATTCTTCTAATGGATATGGAGTAAAAATTGGTACCCAATATGTATGTGCATTTAGAAATGTCATATTTTAGAGTTTTAAATCTAAAACCTACCATGAGAACTAAAAAAAAAAAAAAAAAAAAACTGCAGTCCCAATCCCATCATGGGATTTCTGCCTTGCATTTCCCCTTTTCCTTCTTTATTTTCTATCTATTTGTCAATTATCATTGTGAACTAAAATATTATGAACACCATTGTGAGCAAAGACAAAAGACTTAATCGAAGTGGAGAAATATCTCACTGGCACTCTCCAATCCCACCTAGTTGAATAATTGATTATCATTGCCTGGAGTCCACCTTGATGCCAATTCCACCTAGTTGAATAGTTGATTATCTCAATACTCTTTCATAATTTCATGGGCTATTGGCATTTGACCTTTTGATAGCATGCGGTGGGAAGTCTTGCTAACTTCTGGTGCTCTTAAGCTATGAAAGGAAGGAATACTTTCAATAATGCTTGAGCCACTGATCTGATCCTTAAAATGCTTGATATGGATGTTGGTATTAGCCAGCACATCATAACAGTCAAGAGCTTCTGTGGATTCTGAGAAGCTGACTTCTCCCTCCTTCACTCTGTTTAGAGAATGCGAGTAAATTATAATGCCTGCCTCACTAAGAAGAGAGCCAATTTTTTTGTTTTGCTCATCCATCTTCTCCTGCTGCTCCCTTAAAATGCTTCTCAAAAACCTCAGTCCTGCATAGAGTATTCGCATTTCATCTTTCATAGAATCCATGAAGCTAGAGCTGCAGCATAACAGCTCCCAGAGACAACTTATGAGAGAATCATTGAAGTTGTTTAATATCTGCTTATCCATCATTCTATCATGCAATGATTTTGAGGATCTTGTAGCTCTAAGAACTTCCATAAAAATCTCATAGACTTGAAAATCTATAGGTGTGATTTTCTGTTGTTGCTCATATATCATGCAGCACAACTCAAGATTGTGCAGATCCTCATCTTCCCAGAAAGAACACATGTAAGAGAGGCGTGCTGCGTTCAAAGCCACCACTTCAAAGTGAGCCAATAGCGAGGTAGGAATATCTGCAGTTCCTCGCAATTTGGCAAAGGGAATGAAGCTTTTCAAGAATGTTAGCTTTGCTTCAAGGGCTTGGACTTGAGCACTCAAAATAGCAGAAACAAACGATTCACTAATTTGCGGATGCATATAGTCTTTTGTCAAATCTGCTAGATTTTGCAGGATGAGGTCTATGAATTCCATTAGTTCATCATCTGTCATACAAGAATTTGATTGCAATGACCTGCTGCTGGCCAAAGCAAAGTAAATTTGGATGATTTCTTGCTTAGGTAATTTGATCTGTTCCTCAATTTCCAAGAACATTCCATATTCGTCCGTTTCTGATCTATGGGAAAGAGAGTGAATATCCTCCTCATATTTGTGAAAGGTATCTTCGATGCAAGATAAGAAAGATGGAAGACTGACCTTCTTCACAACATTGTCAGATTCCAAGTACAGATCATTGCTTTGGCTCCACTTTCTTGCACACATAAGAAATGTTTTGAGAAATTTCATGCGTTCGATTGCAGCAAGAACACCGTCAGGAACATACCGGTCTTGGAAGCTGTTCAGGAGCGACTCTAGATCAAGTAAGATCCGATCGATGCTGCAAGTGGAGGCCATCTCCATCTCTTATGCAGGGATTTTCGTCAATTTCACTCTCAAATTTTAAGAGAGAAACAAATCTCACTAACTGCAGAGCTGGTAAAGTATTTCTTTCCTGAAAATTACTTATTTGTTTCTGGTGAGAAGGTGAAGAAGAGTATTGAGATAATCAACTATTCAACTAGGTGGAATTGGCATCAAGGTGGACTCCAGGCAATGATAATCAATTATTCAACTAGGTGGGATTGGAGCTAGGCACCCAAAATCTAAATACTAGTCATGATCAAGAATATGACTACAAGTGAAAATTCATTTGATGTGGTCACATCCTAATTGGTTACTTTCTTATTTGTCATTAAATTTTTGGATATTCAACACAATGTTTGGAAATGATTAAAAGGAGTGAGTAAATTAGTTTCTAATTTTCTTTTTTGTTAATCTTTTTTGGTTCAAGGGAAAAATCCAAACCTTATAATGGGGAAAGGGGAAAAAGGAAGAAGTATGAAAGGGGAAGAGGAAGGACTTAAGAGTCAAATAAGGAATTTCATAGACAACTGACTAAATATCCTAAATTAGGTCTTGGGGACAATTTTTGTTACCTTGGCAATATCTAAAGCATTACTTTCAATTTAAACATTTTTTTATGACCTTTTAGACTTCAATTCTTACTCCTTTGATGGAGGAACAAAACTAATTCCTGCCCAAATTACTTATGCATATGATGTCAACATAAACACCTATAAGCATTGTGAGTAATTGCAAGTTCTAACTAAGAAGATAACTTTCATTTCATGAAGTAAAGGAATATCATAATTTTGCTTTAGTTTTGAAAAGTTTTTGTCCAATAAATTCTAAACAAAAATTTACGTACTTCCAAATTTAATACCAAATCAAGTATTCTATTTACACTAATTATCATACGGTTACTTTTCGATTCTGAGAACCCATTGGCATTATAATCCTTTCCATATTACATCGAGGGCTTATTGGATTTCGTACAGACTAAAGACCAAGAGGTCTATTTCCCAGCAACCAGATACCAAGATTTCAAATTCTACAGCAAAGATGGAAGACTTTAAGTGTGGAATGTGCAAATGCACAGGATAGTGATGAATGCCTCTAGAAAACAAATTCTCTTAAAGGTCTATTGTTTTAAACATAAGAAACTTCACATTCTTTTACATTTTTTTTCTACGTCTTGGCAATTCATAGAAACATTCATGCACTAACAGTAAGTTATTTGACCATATTTTCTGCTTAAGTTTTTCTTATTTCATCAAATTCTTTACATATTTGTTCAATGGAACGTTTGAAAATAGTTACATTCACTATGAAAACCTTTTAATAAGGGACTGAATAATTTTTGTTGTTATTTTAAAGCTCAAGAAATGCGATTTAGTTGCATATTAGCATTTAGGACGCAAAGGTGCGCAAGTTAATACTCCAGCCTAATGACATCAATGGCTAATGGGATGCCGTATAGACAACGGACCAGGACCTCATATTTTCCAGCAAAGACAAAGGGACCAAGACGCTCAAGACCTCAAATTTTCCGCAGAGAAAGAGACTTCACCAAATTGGAGAAGTATTTGGTTTAAAGTCTTTACGTGTGGAATTTTATTCGTAGTCATGATCTGGACTATGATAAATATGTGAAATTAGACAAAATTGATGGGAATGCTTTGACTTTTTCATGCATAATTATATCTTATTACTTCTTCTATTTCTTATTTCATCTCTTTTGACACTTTTCTTATGCTAAACTTGTTTGGCTTGAGATCTTATATTACACTTTTTCATGTTACACTTTTTATACAACTTCTTAAAGTGACAAGTGTCCATGAATGTTACTTGAATTTTCGATGAACTTAAAATTTTACTTATTATTACATGAAACACACATCATTCAGATGGATAGTATAATAAAAATATAACAGAAAAAGTTGTAACGGAGATCTTTTGCTGCCCATTGACAAGTAAACAATGAAAAAAAAAATGGAAAGCTATTGAAAACCCAAGTCCTGCTTCTCATTTATGATTTGATGTTACATTGACAAGTAAACAATGGGAAAAAAGAATGGAAAGCTACTGCAAAACCCAGGTCTTGCTTCTCATTTATGATTTGAGGTCATAATGTAACAGGTCTAGGCATTTGAGTGGAATGTACATTGGGATTTGATTTGGATAAGAATTTATTCATTTTTTTGCTTGATTAGTGACAAATAAAAACTCAGGTCTAGGCTTATAATTTGGATGAGAATGTATTCATTTTTTTTCGATAAGAATTTGTAATTTGGATAAGAATTTGACAAGTAAACAATGGGAAAAAATAATGGAAAGCTATTGAAAACCCAGGTCTTGCTTCTCATTTATGATTTGAGGTCATGATGTAACAGGTCTAGGCATTTGAGTGGAATGTACATTGGAATTTGATTTGGATGAGAATTTATTCATTTTTTTGCTTGATTAGTGACAAATAAAAAACTCATATGGCTTATAATCACTCTCAATCTGATTTCAATAAGTATATTTAATGTACAAATGAAAGAGTAACAAAAAAAGAATGAGAAAAAATTTTCTTGTTCTGTTGGACTGAAACTAATATTTCATGTTTCGCGTTTCAGATTTTTTTTCGAAATGATTTGAAATGACATGGGAAGAAATCACATAAACATAAAATTGACAAGTTAAAGAGATACTTGGGATTGAGGGAGAAGAAGGTTCATTTTGGTCGTTTATGGTTTTTTGGCTTGTGTATACACTACGTTGTTTAGAGCCGAATATTGGTCCAAGAGGTAAAATCCACCCTTTCTAAGCACATATGTTGGGATTTAACTCTTATTGCTATTGTTGACGCGCTCATGTAGTAAGATTCTTGTTGTAACAATGTACTAAAACTAGTAAAAACCGAAAATAAGACGAAGGAAAAATAAACATGAAAGTTGTTTTGATCATTCTACTTTTGTATGATACTCTAATAAAAGTTCTAGTACCAGAATAATTCATCAAAATCTGGTGTTGTAAACACGCACTTCAAGCCTCTTGCCTAAAAAAGTAAAAAAAACACCAACTGAGGAATTACTCCGAATTTTTTTTGTTTGCAAATGTCATGATTTATTTTTACGAGAGAATTACTATTTGGATATCCAATTTTTCGGGGGGATAGACGAATGTAGCCCTAGATAATTTGGTAAAAAGAAAAAAATAATTCCTTTTGTTAAGTAATTCATAAAATTTTTGTTTAAATACAGCTTTTAAAGCATCATAGTAATTTTATTACAATGCACGAAGGAATTTCTATTTCAAGTTTAAGAATTGAATGAAAAAAGTAAAGTTCGACCGAAATAGATGTCAGCCAACAAGCTCGAACAAAAATAAATAAATAAAGGATAAGTGTCTATGAATGAAAATACTTGACTTTGGGAGCACACATATTATGCTGATACATATTTTCAAGTGTAAATATGTCATCACAACCTACATATAAAGATGATTAAGCATAAGAAACTTCATATTCTTTTATGCCTGCAATTCATAGAAACATTCATGCACTAACAAGAAGTTATTTAACCTTATTTTCAGCTCAAGTTTTTCTTTCTTCAAATTCTTTATGTTCGTTTAATGGATACATTTTCATTATAAAAACCTTTTAATGATTAGGGACCAAGTAATTTTTTGTTGTTGTTTTATAGTTTAAGAAGTGATTTAGTTGCAAATTAGCATTTAGGATGCAAAGGTGCACAGCTTAATGTATACTCCAGCCTAATCATACCAATGACTAATGGGATACCGTATAGACAACGGACCAAGACCTCAAATTTTCCAGCAAAGACAAAGGATCAAGACCCTAAGACCTCAAAATTTTCCAGCGAAGACAAAGGACCAAGACCAACAAGACCCAAATTTAACGCCAATATAATATTTTTTTTCATTATTATCCTAAAAATATTGATTTTTGGATATAATTGTTGTTACAAACTAGAGTTGACTAAAGGTTTTAGCAATAAATAGACAAGTTGGAAAAAGAACGACGTAGTCACTACAGGAAATTTGGCCTTTTGTGACAATATTCTCTGTGACAAGAGAGAAAGTTGTCACAATTGAAAACTTTAGTGACGACCTTTAATGTCGTCATATTTGATCGTGGGTTCACCCGTCAACAGTGACAACACGAAATAAGTCGTCACAATATGGATGGCACGCAACTATCCAGTGTGGCGGGAGATCACCAATGTGACGACTGGAAAATATGTTATCACTAAAACTCGTCCTACACTGACAACTTGAACTATCGTCACAATATGGTTGCCAGTTCTAAATTAGTGACAACAACTAGTCGTCACTGTCCAAAGCATTTATTCCCATCTCACTTTCACTAATTCTACTATGTCACTCTAATTTTTTCAATATGGCGCATATGTTGTAAATAAATTTTATTAATTCTACCATGACACCCTAACTTTTACATTTTGACCCCATATACCACCTTAATTTTTTTTAATATGGCCCATGTGTTGTAAATAAATTTTATTAATTTTGCTATGACACCCTAAATTTTACATTTTAACCCTATATACCACCTTAATTTTTTCAATATGGCCCATGTGTTGTAAATAAATTTTATTAATTCTACTATGACACCCTAACTTTTACATTTTAACCCCATATACCACCCTAAATTTTTCTATATGGCCATATGTTGCAAGTAAATTTAATTAATTATGTTATGATACCCAAACTTTTATATTTTAGCCCCTTATTTGTTAAACTAATCTCATTAACTCTACCATGACACCTTATCTTTTGCAATTTAGCCTCGTATGTGATAAAGAAAGGTTTTATTAATTCTATTATGGCACCCTATGCTTTTACACTTTAGGTTGTGTTTATCATTAGCAAAATGAGGAAGGTATTGTAAAAAACAATGTTTACCTATTTTTTAATTATTCCAAGCATAGCTAATACCTTGTTATAAAGTTAAAAAATATCATGAATTCATTATTTAGTTCTCTTGACAACATATGGGAAATTACTGATTAACATAGTGTGAAAATAATGGAAGAGAATAATAAATTTAATATGAAATTAAGTAAAAATCTTGACAATTCCATGACTGGAGTTTGTTATGTATTACAATTTACAATAATAAAATTGTTTATGGTTTATGAATCAGTAAATGTATCAAATAGATTTAGTGTTTCATGCATGTATTAGTAAACCATTTTGGTTATTTGATCAACTAGTTTATTATTAACTAGTAAACCAATTGGATGACTGGAGTTTATTATTAATTACAATAGTCACATTGTTTATGGTTTATGAATCGGTACTTGTACCAAAAACATTTAGTGTGTCATGCATGTATTAGCAAACTATTTTGGTTATTTGATCAACTAAACAGATTGTTAGGTCTTGTCAAACCATAATTCGTACATAATTCATAAAATTATTAAATTAATACCAAAAATATTTACATTAAAAGATTTTTTTGAATCATAAACATATTTTTAATAAGCTTTATAGTTTTTGGACATTAATTTTTTGTAGAGATAAAAAAAACATGTGTTAGTAAACAAAATTATCAAAAAACACTAAATTTTCATATTCTAAATTTTAATGCAACAAATAAAGTTTTAATACAACTTGTGAGCTAAAAACTCAAAATAATAAACAACTTTAATTACACAAAGATGGAGAAAAGAAAAAGAGAGATACTAGAGCAGGCGTTATTTTTGTAAAGAGAGGTCCAAATAATTAGTACAAAAGTCACTTGAAAGCGTTATTTTTTGGCTGAAGCTAAAATGGAAGTGGGAAGCTCAAAATTGGAGTAGAGGCGGGGGAAGCTGAAATTTGGAGTAGAGGTGGGGGAAGCTAAAAATTGAACAAAATTGAACGAGTAGAGATGAGTAAACAAAAGAAGCAGAAATGACGTCATGTTAGCAAGAGCTAAACAATAACACTCATAACACAGAAAAATTTCGGACAAAACTTGCTTTCCCCCTTCTTGCCAACTTCGGACACTACATCTTCTCCTTCTCTCTACTATCATTTTGCTGAAATTATCCAAAAAATCATTTTAACCCACCATTTTCATCCGTAATTTGAGCTACCCAAAAGATTTGTGTAGCTTTAGTGGAGTTGTAGATAGCAAAAATCCCTAATTCCGCCGCCGCTCTCCCTGTAGTTACCGTTGTCCCTCTTGAGAATGAAATGGAGGCCGACGCCAACTCCCTCCCTCTGCCTGACGTCATGAAAGCCCCAATCCGGCCAGACATCGTCCAAGACGTTCATCGCGCGACATCTCCAAGAACTCTCGCCAAGCTACGCCGTCTTTAGGCCCGCTGGCCACCAGACCTTCGTCGAGTCCTGGGGTACTGGTCGCACTGTTTCCCGTATCTCTTGTGTCCCTGGCGGCGGCACTCACCGTGCAGGCCAGGGTGCTTATGACAACATGTGTCGCGGCGGCCGCATGTTTGCTCTGACCAAGATCTAGCGCCGTTGGCACCGCAAGGTCCCAGTCAACAAGAATCGGTATGCCTTCAACTTCTGAAGTTCTTCAGCCAAATCTCAGCCGATGAAATCAATCTCTATTTTTTTTACGCGATGAAATTAATCTTTTGAGCTGACTCTGTGTAAACTTTTGGATTTTGACTGGTATTTGATCTTAAATTCGAGTGAGATTTTGAGGGAGTTGATGAAGGAAGCTGGTTAATTGCCATAATCACTTTTTTCTTCTAATTTTTGTGTTTTATTTCAGTATTCTAGCTCTGTTCTGTGAATTTTGTATAGATCGCTGAAGAACTCATTTCAATAGTTGAATGCAAAGCTTTAGAATTTTAACTCTCTAGCTGCTTTTGTTAATTTATGTGCTTTTGTGTTTAAAATTTTAACTTTAGTGAATTTATTTATCTGTATAAAGTTCCAATAAGCATTAGTAGCTCAAGTGTTTCCAATAGTCAGTAGTGAAGAACTCCATAGAAATGTCGTTAAATTTTTATATGAATTGATTGATACTACATTTTAGCTTAAATTGCATTTAGAAAATGAATTTTCCTTATCTCTGTCATTAGGAAATGAAGTTTATTACCACGTGAAAAATTGTTCTAGGGCATTAAGGAGAAGTTATTGTCAATTAATGTTGGAGTTATGTATTTCTAGGTTTATGTGTTCTATTTTGTTGATGTTGCCTTTTCTTTTTCATCATTATGCATGTGAAGCAAGCTGGAGTTCACCTTCTAGACGGCCTTTTGTTGATCGTGTATCATTAGTTGAAGAGGTTTGATACATCACTTGTTTAATTAATTTATTTGACTAAGCTTAAATGTTTGATGATTGAATTTCTAACCTTTGTTAGCTGATCTCAAATTGAAGAAAACTTCCCAACTTGTGGAATTGCTGGAAGAGAGTATGGTTGCACTAGTTAATGAAATTGTAATCATGTGCAAGTAAGATGATGCACATGATTCTGTTGTGAGTTCTTTGTTTTTCGGTGAACCATGATGCATATAATACTTGCCATCCTCTTATTCCAATTGTTGATGGCTTTTCTGTTATGGTCATAGCTTGAATTCTGTTGTCTCTGAGTCATCAACTCTTTCCATCTTTCCTCCTATTGAAGTTTTGGATATTTATGCTGTCACTAGACAAATTGATGACTATAGAATCGACAAGAATGCTGCCAATGTTAAAATGAGCTACATAATTTCTAAGTAAGCCTTAGAGTTCAATAGCTTTATGAATTTTGAGAAGTTTCATTCATTCATGACTTGAATTCTGAGAAGTTCACCATAAAACTTCTTTTGGTGTTTCAGGTGTGGTAGAGAAATCATAGGAGGCTTTCTTTGAACATTTGTATTTCGAACTTCAGCAGAGGAGGCTTTCTCTGAACGCTTGGATTTCAAATTTCAGGTAATTAAGTTTCTTGACTAAGTACTATGTGAAATTGCAAATTGGTTTATTTTAGATTAATTTTTCCTGCAGTAGTTGTTTTGTTTTCACAAAAATACTATCTGAATGAATTTGTTAAATGGAGATAAAATAGTAGACTATTAAGTGGTAGTTTGACCTTTGCAAAATTTCTCTCATTCAAGTAGAGTGAGCATTTCTTGAGTGAGTCATTGGTATTGAAAATCAGTTCACAGATGCAGAGATGTGCCTTTGAGCTTATGAAGTCTCTTTCTGCCAGAAATGGTCATCTATATTCTTAATTTTTCTGGGGGCATCTCTTCAGATTGGTTACAACTTACTTAAGTCTCACGATGATGATTAAGAAAGAAAATAACCTGTTTCTGATGCATGAAAGTTGTGGTTTCATCTGCTGTATCGTGTCTCATATTGAAATAGTTTACAGATATTTTTTGTGTCTCTGGATTTCATACTCTGTGAATGCATAAACATAAGCAGTTGGAAAGTTGGTCAGAGGTATAGTTTTCTGGTAGATAGAGCTCTTGCAAATAAGAGAGAGGGGTTTATGTCTGTTTCCTGGAGTTGCTCTGTGAATGCACAAAGATAAGAAGCTGGAAAGTTAGTAAGAAATATAGTTTTCTGGTAGATAGAACTCTTGCAAATAAGAGAGAGGGATTCATGTCTGTTTCCTGGAGTTAAAGAAAAATGCAATACCAGATACTCTGTTTTATAAATGCATTTGATTTTTTCATCCTTCGGTTTTGCTTTCTTTATTCAGTTTTACAATAATTTTCCTAATTTGCTGTTGAAATTTTCTTGAGTAAATAAAGAATGATTAAAGATAGAGTTCATAATAAGGATATTGTATTTGTTCGGTTCTGATATTGTATTTGGTTGTGGTCTTCTGGTACAATGTGAAATTTGAGATGCATGTCAGTATTTCTTCTATTAGTTATTGCTTATGGAATATGGCCTCAAATTTATTCCTTTTCAGTTTAATTGAGTACGAAATCTCAAGCTTCAAAGTTTGATTTTAACAGCTTCAGGCAAACATACAGCTGGGCCAAATTCAGCTGCTAACACTTCGAGTTTTGGTGGACTGAATCATGGTTTATGTTGCCACCTAGTTTTTTACTCCTTTACATTATTTGAAATTTTTTTTTTTGCCCTTTTAATACTTCACAGATTATCAAGATGTTCAATGGGAACAATTTTGGTAAAAGATTGATACTTTGTTCTAGTGTACTGTGGAACCATAATTTTATTCTGATATTCAATTTTATTATATTTGAGCAGGATAAGTATTGTATCATCAAAAGATTGATTTCTGGCCTTTATTAGTGACTTTTGTGCGACACAATTTTATGTTGCAATAACATTATGGAGATTTTTTGTGGTGCATTTTTTGTGCCGCAAGTAGAGGGGCGACACTCAAACTAGTGCCGCAAAAAGCGACGCAAATACATGCGACATACCCAAAAATTGTGTCGTTTTCTTTTGTAACGGCTACTTTTGTGACACAATTGAATTCTGTCGCATACCTTTTTGCGGCAGTTTTCTGATTTCTTGCAGCAGAATTCTGGCATCACAAAAAGTTAGTTTTCTTGTAGTGATTTCATGTTTAAACTGGTGGTCAGAGAAGCTTAAATAACCAGTTCTCTTCCCCATTTTCAGGTTAAGGAGCTTGCGAGAAGATTAATTGAAGAGCAGGAACATAACTTAGAGGATATTTCACTTCGTTAGAAGGTGATGCTTACTCTCTTTCATATGTTTCTTCCACAAAGAATATTAGAAAGTACATGTTGATTCCCTTACTCCCTTGTGCGTAATAGCTTTGTTAACCTGGCTTTGTTGCATCTTTTTCCAATTTGGCAGGAACTTCTCACCCATAGAGGTAACTTTCCTTTTCTTTTTAGATCCAGCACCTTACACTATCGGAGTGCAACTAGCAGATTTTGAAGTCTTTTAGTTATTAAGTTATTGTAGATTTACATATTCTAATCGCTATAAGGATTTTACAGTAGTAACTTTGAGATTTTGGGCAGAATTGCACTAAAACTGCATTTACACAAAAGAGGCAACCATGTATAATCAGCTTTCATTAATTTCTTGGCTGGTATGATACCAAAGATAAATACACTTGAGTCCCCTGTTTTTATTTTGTAAATTTTGCTGGAGATTTGACATTCAATCGTTTGTTCATTTATTTTCAAGGACTAGAGACAATTTTATGATGGTAATGGTGCGGAAAATTGGAAAATACTGTAAAATAATTTTGAATTTACAAAGTTTGTGTTCCTTTAATATTTACAAAGGTAAACATCAACAACAACACATGAAATTATACTTGGGTCTTGTTTCTGGGATTTTTATTTTAAAGAAGTTTTGAGTGTATTTTGATTAAGTCAAATACTATAAAGACTATTAATGCAAACAAAATTGAATTATCTTGAACTTTATTTTTTGTTAGAGAAGCATCAAGTGGTATGACATGGGAGGAGATACTTGTGAATGGGGAGAAGAGAAGCATGTTCTCTATTTGGAATTATTTTCAATAAGCATGTATTTATAATGTCGGTGTCTGAAAAACATGACATTTTCCAGTTTACTATGAGAACTTATAATTTGCCTAGATGCAATGAGTTTGGGGTGCAGATTCAATACAAAATTTACTAAGTTGGTGGGGTCATTTTCTTTTTTATAGAAGCCACTCCTTAAGCTTAATTTGTCAATTATATCAAGTTAATTTTGGTTGAAATAACCCTTAATAGTAGAATTGAAACAAACTTGACTTTATTGATCTCTAACAAGGTACTTTGGGCAGATTTTATCTATATTCTAATTAGTATGTTTTGGTTAAAACTCTTGTTTGACTGATTCTTTTATCTCTTATCATATTGACTTAATTGGATTTTTGTTCAGTATGACTATTCATTCAAATTCAATAGTGTATGCTTGTAATGGCATATTTTTTGACTGAAATCGATTCTAATGCATATGATACTTTTCTTTCAATGCAGTACAATGCTATTAAATGCTCTTGAGGAGATGAAAAAGGTTGGCTTTTGGATATGCTCATGAAGATGACTTCAGTTTGACACAAATTGCTGCTTTAGTCTATGTTTTTGTTTGGAAAGAGTACTTTGTTTTTTTGGATGCGTAATGGCTGTTACTAGTTGAACTGATGTGAACTTAATACTCTATTGTTTAGATGGATAATGGCTGTTAGTACTTGAACTAATGTGGGCTTTGGAACCCATTTTGGTTAATATGTGTTTTGATGAATTTAGAGATGTTTATAACCATATATATATTTGAGGGTTCATTGTACATTAATTACTATCGTTTTTTGCATTAGTCGAGCCACAATTTTATGCTATGGTTGTTGAAAATGCAATAGAAGTAGGCTTTTTATGGCAAATTTCAAACATTTTAAACAAAGTTCAGTGACCACATCAGGGAAGGTTGTCACTAGCTACAAGTTAAACCAATGACAACAATTCTTGTCACTAATGAACAGGATTATAAGTGACATGTAAAAGCTATCATTGTAGATATGAAATTTGTGACGACTTTTATATTATCTATGACAAAAATACAGGTGAAGCAATGACAAGAAAAGTCGTCACAAAATGGTTTTAGTTAGTGACGAGTTTTTCTTTGTCATATAATAATATGATTCTGTAACGACTTATCTAAAGTTGTCACATGGACTCATTTGTGACATGGAATCTATGACAATCAAGTGACAACAAAAAAAGTCGGCACTGTATCTTTATAATGACAACTTTTTGATTTTTAATGACGAGATTTGATTGTCACAAAAGCCTAATTTTCTTGTAGTGAGTGTTAAAGTGCAAAACATGTTTTACCTTATGAAATTAACCATAGTTAACCCTTGGGAGTATAAATGTTAATTTGACATTTCTATTATACCCCTAGAGTTGGCTAACAATTTTGAAGGCAAAATGAGTAAAGAAAAACAATATTAGGGGACAAACTGTAAAATTAACTGGCTATATCTCAAGGGGAGATTTTGTAATTAATTCTAATTTTAATTAACATTCCTAGAGATATTTGAAAACTGTCCATGAAGTTGATTGTGGGAAAAAAATTTAACAGCAGGCGTTGGATTGGTAAATTCTAAAAGGAAGGTAATACGCCACGTAAATTTTTAGTGAAGAAAAATTCCAAAGAGTAAAATGCTTTCTGTCACAGAACCCACGTAAGAATCCGGGACTTAGGTAATGCACTTGTAAGATATGGCTAAAATCGATCACAAGTTAATTTTGTAGAAGAATGTTTCATCAAATTCTGATGCAACTCCATTTGATGATTAAAATTTAAATATTGTAACATAAACTAACAATCAATATTATGGATTTTTCTTTTATTTTGTAACTGTAATTCAAATTTCAAACTTCCAGAATTTATACATGAATAAATTAATTGTACAAGTTGGTTGAGAAAGGAAATTTTTTGAGTTGCCATATAAACGGCAGACTTGCTATCAATACTTGAGAAACGAAGCTTTTTCTCTTGATTTCTCAAAACACTTGATTTCCCCTTACAGATTTGAAGCATAGTTATTAAACTCAGATCAGCCCGATGGTCGAATTGGTCATCCCGCTGAACAAGTCATTGCATCAAGTTGGGTCTCTAATTGGATCACTTGTGCACAGATTTCGTTAACAAGTCATTGCGTCAGGTTGGGTCTCTAATTGGATCACTTGAGCACAGATTTCGTTGACTGGTTAATGCCAGCAATTTAATCGAATTAGACTGGAATCCGACCGATTTTGTCAACGAACCGGATTTTATGGAAAAGATGTTAGTAAGCTCTTATCAAGATTTGAACTTAGGACTTTAAGCATAAATGTATAGTATACTCACCACCATACCACTTGACATATATAAGTTGAATAACATTCTTATGCTACATGAATGTTTTGTCAATTCTATCTTTGTTCTTTTTTATTTTTCCAAAACAAATTTATTTGAAATCTTTTAATAAAAATTTATGACCCCCCTCCCCAAACATTACAAGTTATAAAATGGATTTTAAAAATATTATATTACATAATCTATTTTAAAGACAATTATTGTTTTAAATAATTATTTGCACTTAAGATTTGTAAATAAACTCGATAATTACACTAAATACGATAAAATTTTATGCTTGAAGTTTGGTGGATTATTAATTAAATTTATGTTTTGTTGATTCTTATATGAATTAATTATTCTACAATGAATTAAATTAAATAAGCATTTACTATGGCATTTTTTATTATAGTTTATAACATATATCTCATATAAAAAATTATGAGACATAATATTTAATTATATTTAGTGACCCACTGGTTCAACCATTCACCAACTGGTTGAACCAATGACTTGTTGACCCACATCCTTCATCAGATTCCTTTGTGAGCCGGGTTTAATAACTATGATTTGAAAAGTTATTTTTGTGTTTTAGAAAATGGATAATAATAATTACAAGTATCAGAGTTGGGATGGCCCAACATTTGAGTTCAAACGCGCCATAGCATCCAGAGAGCTATTGTTAAATCTGGAAACATTTCGGACTTCAGTCCACTTGCACAGATTTGTGTAGGTTTTCTAAACGACTCAACAATCCCCCAGTAATTTGCAAAACATGTGTATCCTAAACCATGAACTCTTCAATAGTTCAACTTTAATGGATGAATCTTAAGCATAATCAGAAGTATCTGTTGATAATTTCAAAAAAAAAAAAGAAGTTTCTCTTGATTTAAACTTCTAACTGGTATAGATGATTTAAATTTTTAATGTAGTTGTTAGTGTTCTTAAATTAGGGAAGTTCTACGGTCTCTTTAGAGCACTGTGTCGATGAAATTAAATTTATTGTTGGATATAAAATAGGAATTATCAATCTTTATATTATTTTAAGAGTTTAAATTACTAAATGATATGATAAGATATGAATAGATTAAAATTATAGGTACCGTACCCAAAAAGGACTGTAGTATTTTTCCTTAAATTAAACTATATCTCTTAAATATCAAAGACTAAAACACAGCACAATTAATGATATATACTTTTCTCGAGGTTAATATTAGCTTTACAGCTATTTTACCCACGTGTTAATCCTAATTTCACAGTCATCTACAAAAGTATGCTCAAACTCTTGTTGAAGTGGCATCACTTCAATACTTATATAGGTGAGATTGTGCTTGTAAGAGTTCAAATTGAAGGAACTTGAAGGGACATTTTGTTGCTAAAAAGGAGGCTCTAGAATCATCTTTTGGACTCTTTTTTCTCTACATATATATCATTTGAGCAAAAATCAAGAGCTAGGAAAAGGAGAGTGGAACAAATACCACACAAGATGTAAAACTTAGTTAGTTTCTTAGTTCTTTAGCTTAGGTTAGTATAGGTTAGGTAGTTTTATTGCAAACTTGTATCTTAACTTGGATGAACATCAAGATTGAAGAAGAAGAGAGGGAGGCCCATATGTGACAAGGGGTTTTTTCTTTTCCAACCCTTTAATTCTTGTATTAGATTCCAATGTTTAGCCATAATATAAGTTCATTATTTACTTTTATTTTCTTCATGTTTTGTTAAGTTTATATCTAGAGTTATAGATGAATTTTCTATATCTTGTTTGTGAGGTTTGCTTGCTTATTTGATACTATTATTTTAAGCAACTTATTTAACACTTTTGCTTATCTAATCATGATTAACTGATCATTAATTGTAATAATTTCATGGTGTTAAATTTGCGATGAGAATTGAAATTTAACACTAGTTCAAGAAAGTGCTAAATATATAGAGTAACTCACAAAAATAGAGGTGCACTTTGTGACTTTCGTGACTTATTCCATTTAATTTCATAGAATTTAATGAACTTGTAGTCAATTTTATAATTATGAGAGTAACTGTGGATTAGTTATAGGTATGTTCGGTATACTGGTGAGAGTAGATATTGCATACATTAGGAAATTACATCATAACTAGTTAAGGTAGTAATATTCAATTAACTGGTAGATTCATTTGCAAAAATTAGTTATGAATTCTATGACTCTAGGAGCTTTTTATTGTTGGTTTTACTTCCATTTATTACACATTTGTAGTGCATATAAAATTTCTCGTACTTGTGATCATCTAGAAAGGACCATGTATTCCATTGATGAGTTTTATAACCCAGAGGAAATATTATCTAAAATTCCAGTGAGGCAATTATTGCCCAAGTCTAAATGCTCCAGATATTCCAAATTACCAGTGACTTGGAAAGCTTCCAATGAAGTTATTGCCGTTGAAATTGATGCGTCTATGGGTGGGTAATTCATCCAACAATTAATGAATTTCTCCTGATAGAAAATTCGCTTGAAAATTTAGACATGTAAGATATGGTTTCCCATTTTTCACTTCACACAAAAAGTGAGAAACAGCTCCTGAAAACAAATAGTTGGAAAGGTCTAGATATGAGGTAAATGAGAAATTAATTGTGGCAGTGGGCCGTTGGATCTATATGACTATAGTGTACATGTAAACCTCTAACAATTTCAGAGATATTTGAACGCCTGTTATGAAGTTCATTGTGAGAAAGGTTCATGTAATTCGTAGATGAGTTGAATAACCAGGGAGGAATAGTACTTGAAATTCTCATAGAGGACAAATCCAAAAAACAAAAAGTTTCTTTTATGACTTGAGCCATGTAGGAAATTAAGAACCTAGCTTCCACGGACCCAATCCAAGTCCTTTAAAGGCATAAAAATGTTTTAAACTTGTCAGATTGTTAAGTAGATTGTCACTCACAAAGCCTTCTATGAAATTATCGTTAATAAAAAGGTATTCAAGTTTGGAAAACTGCCCAAGATTCAGGAAGGATTCCAGTGAGTTTGTCTGTACTTATAAACAAGTGCTCTAAGGATGACGGATTTCCAAAATTTGATGGAATTGAACTAGTAGAGCATTATCACAAAGCAAAAGATATTTTAGATTGGTACGGTTGCCAACAGTGCTTGGAATTGGATCACTCAAGTAATTACTACTTGTATCAAATGTAATAAAGTCCTTTCGATGTGAATAACTCACTTGGTAAAGAAAAGCTAAGGTTGTTATGAGATAGATCAAGATATTGAAGGCTGGAAATGCTGGCAATAGAGCTTGCCATATAACTTTGAAAGTCATTGGAGCCAAGATCAAGTGAAATTAGGACTGTTAAAAGTGGATAATACGCTTGAGAGAGAGGCAGAGAAGGTATTATTGTACAGATCCAAAAATGTAAGGGATCTCCAATTCCAAGTTCCATCAGGGAATGTAACTTCAAATTGATTTGACGCAAGGTTGAGAGA